ACATGAATCTGTTGTATATATAGAATATCTCGATATAACTTTTGTGTCAGGGGGTGTTTAGTTGAACACCACGGTCTTGTGGCCGTTGAGCAGCACGCGGTGCTCGGCAAAGTACTTCACGGCGGTGGCGAGGACGTTGCTCTCGACGTTGGAGCCGGCGTGGGTCAGCTCCTTGGGGCTGAGGGCGTGGGTGACGCGGACGACGTTCTGCTCGATGATGGGGCCCTCGTCGAGGTCGCTGGTGACGAAGTGGGCGGTGGCGCCGACGATCTTGACGCCGCGGTCGTAGGCCTGGTGGTAGGGCTTGGCGCCCTTGAAGCTGGGCAGGAAGCTGTGGTGGATGTTGATGATCTTGCCGGACATGGCGTCGCAGAGCTTGGGCGAGAGCACCTGCATGTAGCGGGCGAGGACGACCAGGTCGATCTGGTGCTCGGCGATGAGCTCGAGGATGCGACCCTCCTGCTCAGCCTTGGTGGCCGCCGTCACGGGCAAGTGGATGAAGGGGATGTTGTAGGTGGCGGCCAGCGCGGCGAAGTCCGGGTGGTTGGAGACGATCAGCGGGATCTCGATCGCCAGCTGGCCCGTCGACGCCCGGAACAGCAGGTCGTTCAGGCAGTGGCCGATCTTCGACACCATGATCAGCACCCGCGGCTTGGCCGTCGCCGACACCAGCTCGAAGGTCATCGCCAGCTTCTCCGCCGTCGGCGCGAACGCCTCCCGCAGCTGCTCCAGCGTCGGCGCCGGCGTGCTCTCCGGCTTGAAGTGCACGCGCATGAAGAACCGCTCCGACGTCGGGTCGCCGAACTGCGACGAGTCGATGATGTTCAGGTTGTTCTGCACCAGGTAGGCCGTCACCGCGTGGACGATGCCCGGGCGGTCGGGGCAGGAGAGGGTGAGGATGTAGCTCATTTTGGTGGAGGATGGGATGTTGAATTGGGAGGGAGAGGTCGCGGTTGGGTGGTTGAAGAGGAGGGAAAAGGATTAGCGCGGGGGGGGAGAGGAGGTTAAAGAATAAGGTTGTGGAGGTTGTTCAAGGTTCCTGACACGATGCAGAATTTAAGCCGCTGGCGAGAGCCAGAGCCACTGGTGCAGGTTTGCCCCGCCGCTTGCGGCGATGAGTCAATCCGGTCTCGCGCTCACTGGCCCGCCGCCCTGGTGATTGATAAGATTAGGGCCTGCACTCAGGGCTGATCATCTAGGGTTGTCGCTCAGGGCTGCAGATCATTCTGCACAGCTTTTAAGGCTGAGCTAGCATTACCCAGGCCGTGGGGGATTTGGTTTTGATCCTGTGATGCAGGGGTCTGGAGTAGTTCAGTAGCTGCATAATTCACCTCGTTAATCTCTCGCTTTATACTTGCTAATCCCACTCGTCACCTACTTTTTCTCGAAGTGATTGACGATATATAGTTAATGTGTTATCAAAACAGGTACCAGTGCACGAAGGAATTCTCAATCAAAACATTCCGTCACTCACTCAATGATATCATTCACAGTGTCCCTTTCTATGATTAAAACGTACCTGCAGTTGCTACGCGCATCAACCACACTTTCAAAGCTGGAAGGTATGATGTCCATGCTCTATGCCTGAGGCACCAAGGTGTCGCCGGAGCGGGAATCCCGACTCCTCAGTGACTGCTAACCCATCACGGAATTCATATCCCGAGGCTTCATCTTATCCCACTGTTTGCCATGACCCCGCAGTCATGGCAATCAAACTTTGTTCATGATGTCTCGCGTGTCCTCAGTCATGTCTCCGAAAAGCAAGTCACCTAAGCCTGCTCGAAAGCATGTGACGACGGCCTGCAACCCTTGCAGAGAGGGCAAGGTGAAGGTACTCGACAAGCCAGGTACAGAAGAGATGCGTCTGCTGATCCCAACATGCATTCTAGTGCAACGGAGCCACTCCCGCTTGTGGGAATTGCGGGGCAAAAGGCAAGAGATGCTCTTATCGCCAAGTTGATGACAGGCGCAAGTAAGCTCCACATATCCATTGTCTGGTGTCACCGCTCATGAGCTGTTCTTTCTTAGAATCCCGGTACGAGTGAGCTTCGGTGTTTTGGCTAGAAGAATAAACCAGCTGGTACTTTATGTTCAAGGGCAGGGTTTGGAACTTCCTTCCATGGACGAGAGCGACAGTTTGATGATCGGAAGCATATTTGATGCGCTTGGAATGGAATGTTATGGTCTTACGACTGGGAAGGATACGTCGACTGCAAAGCGGTACATTGACGACGCCAGACCTGGGGAAGATGTTCTGCTCTCTCCAGATGCAATGCCACCTCATCAGAAGGCGGTTGCCGATTCCTCTTCACCATCGACCGGTGCAGATCCGCAAGAGACTCTAGGCGCGCATAACCTTGTATCCTCAGCAGCACAGCCAGTGCAAGGTGTCTCGGGGAAAGGCTCAAAGGTGCTGAGAGGTGACAAGATAACATGTACACCCCTAAGCATTCAACGGGATGAACTGCCGAACACGAAGGCGATCCCTAGGACGCCTGTTGACTCGGCATGCTCCTCTGACTCCACCGAACCTGGACCTCAACCTCAGCCTAATCCTCCTCATAAAACCGGAGAGGATGAAGAGGATGAGGTTACTAGTCAGCTGTCATGCCGATCAGGACGGCTTCAAGTGATGCATGACGGACAGCTCCGGTACTACGGGTCCACCTCCAACCTCAACCTCCTGGATATCCTCGTCGGTGTCACTCCGCCATGCTCAACAAATGCCCAGAAAGGAGCACACGAAGTCTTAAAGAGTGCGGAGCTTGATGCCCCGGTCGATGAAACATTCGAACAGCATCTGCTGAAGCTCTACTTCACATGGCAAGATCCCTGTCTTCATGTCGTGGACGAACAAGTATTCTGGAGGTCGAGAGCACAGAATCTGGACGATGACTTGGATACACCATACTACTCTTTCACACTAGTAAATGCTATGTGGGTGACTACCCTCCATCTTCCATACGCTTTGTGCTCACTGACGATATTGTAGGTGTGCGATCGGAGCTGCGTACGAGCCCCGATACCACCCGAGTCTTGTAACCTTTCCTCGATCGCTCGCCGAGTTCTTTGGTGACCGTGCTAAAGTACTCCTTGAGTTGGAATTGGAGAGTCCGTCACTGGCTACAGTTCAAGCCTTGGTCATCTTGGGCGGGTATGAAGCCTCCTGCACGAGGGATACGCGGGGGTGGCTGTACAGTGGTAAGTCTCTGACGTTGGCGAGCGATATCGAAGCCTGAAAGATAACTGACATTGTCAGGAATGGCTATGCGATTGGCCTTCGATCTTGGACTTCATCTGGATATGGCTCCGTACGTGGCCAAGGGCATCATCCCGTTGGAAAATGCCGAGATTCGCCGCCTGACCTTCTGGGGAGCATATATGAGCGAGCAGTATGACCAATCCCTTCCCATCCTAACTCATATCTAACAAGGTATCCAGATTCTGGGGTTGGTACCTCGGTCGTCATACTCGAAACCAATTACCGGTGATAACAGTGAAGAAGCTGGATGGGTGCAATGATCCAGGAGCCGAAAAGTGGGAGCCATATGGCTCTCCGACCGCCTCGAACAACGTACCCGCTTTTCCAAACACATTGAAGAAGCTATCCTACGAATGGACCTCTCTCTATGATCTCCCACTGCCACTTACTGATGTTTTGTAAGATCTAAGGTGATGCCCTGGCATTGATGCCGGTCACTAACCCGGGATGCAGATATGGCATCTCTTCTATGTCTATACGTGAAATGCAGGAGCTAGCAGCCCACACAGTCGAGAAGCTCAAGTCGTGGAAGGCTGATTTGCCAGCAGAGCTGGACTTTGACGAATCCGAGAGTGGACTTCAACCTCTTCCGCACGTACTGGCTCTACAGTGAGTTGGAGCGAGATCTGCAAGCCCACCGCTACTGTGGCATATACTAACGTCCAGACAAGCATGCAGTATTATCAGATGATGATTCATTGTCACCGTCCGTACATCTCTCACGTTATCCAGCCTCAGCCACCTCAGGGTCCAGGCTCAGGGCATGCACGCATGACGTGCATCGAGTCGGCGATATCGATAGCGAGACTCCTCGCCCTCTATGAGCGATGCTATAGTTTCCGCCGGGCCAATTATCTCATTGTGTCCTTCGTCTTCTCGGCTGCACTAATTCTTATTTTCATCACGGTACCTCTCAAAGGGGATGACAAAGATCAAGAATTGATGCAGCATTTGAACACTTGTTTCCGTGCGCTAGATGAGATGGGTAGTCGCTTTGAGAATGCGAGACGCACGAATACCTTTCTCACAACGCTGCAGTGCGAGTGGCAGACTCGTCGACGAGACACGAAGGTATCTTCAGGGACCAAGAGGAAGTTGCCGTGCTCGTTCGCAACAACTGGCCGTCGGACTATGACTCGAGATGAAAGCTCCCTACGCTCAGCACATGATCAGAGCTGGTCCGCAGCAGCGGTAGGCCGAACGGGAGAACAAGCAGATGTTGACCTTCAACACTCGACTGATCTTCCTTCCATTGATGATGGCTTGTCTTACTCTCTGGATCTCATGGAGTCTGACTTGTGCAATATCCTTCTCAGCGAGGGGATTCCGAGGGCTTTCGTGTAGCCATTATCAGGTGACGCGCGTGATCGGTTTCTGTATTCCTGGCTGTGGGAATACTATCATGAATTGCTCTCAACTCATTTTAGGACCTCTCACGTTGGAACAAAAGAGCAGTGGGGTCCCTCAAGGTGATGACATACTGTGATCGGTTTAATGCATGTCTCTTATATGAATCAGCTTCTTTCTTCCGGGTAAGATCATCGTCAAAGACACGACCAATGCAGGGTAAGTCCGGGAAATGAAACCCGGCAGCCAAGACAGATTACAAATACACATCGAAGATATAAAGCCCAGAGCGAGAGCTCAGAACCAGCATAAGACATCCTCTACCAGTTCAAACAATTATCTTCTCTCTGAGATCCTGCACCGTATCGCACTTGACGCACCGCTAAACATCATGACTGGCGATGTGAAACATGCTCTCATCTTCGGGGCATCAGGCATCTCAGGCTGGTCGCTCCTCAACCAGTGTCTCTCATACCCTTCTGCAACGACTTTCAGACGCGTCACAGGCTTGTGCAATCGACCTCTCGCGAAAGAAGAATCCTTCCTTCCCGATGACTCTCGACTGAGAATCGTTCCTGGAATTGACCTCACAGCCTCCGTGGACATCGTTATAGAGCAGTTGAAAACGAAGGTTGAGGAGGTGGAAATGGTGGATGTTGTCTTCTTCTGCGGTAGGTTAGGAATGGCTCCGTCTGGGCTTTCGCCCTATCAACATATCACTCTAACATCAATGCCGCCTGCACAGCATACATCCAAACCAGCGACCCCGAGTCCCTGAAAAGCATCAACACCCAGATCCTCCGCACGGCGATTGAAGCCATTAACGCCGTCGCGTCCAGCCTGGAGGTCGTCATCCTACAGACCGGCGGCAAAGGATACGGACTGGAGTTTCCCAAGGAAGTCAACCTCCAGGCACCCCTGCACGAAGACCTCCCACGTATCCCCGAGCCATGGCACAGCACGATCTTCTACTACAGCCAGTATGATCTCCTGACGGAGCTATCCCAGCGGCACGGCAGATGGACCTTCTCGGAGATCCGACCCGACGGCATCGTGGGATTTGCTCCCGGCTCTAACGCGATGAACATGGCGCAAGGCATTGCGTTCTACCTGACGCTCTACCGGCAGGTTCACGGGGAGGGCGCCCGCGTCCCGTTCCCGGGCAAGCCGGCCGGGTACCACGCCTCCCACAGCGATACCTTTCAGGACGTTTTGTCCAAGATGGAGATCTTTGCCGCGTTGAATCGCGACCGGTGCGGCAATGGTTCGACCTTCAATTCTGCGGACGGGGAAGCGGTGCGCTGGGCGCAGGTCTGGCCTGGATTGTGTGCGTACTTCGGTTTGGTGGGGTGCGAGCCTGATGGCGAGCAGAGAGCTTCCATGCAGAAGTTTGTCGAGGCGCATGGGGATACGTGGAAGTCCCTGGTTGCGAGCAAGGGGCTGAAGGAGGGATTGATCGAGACGCAGAATTGGGACCATGTTCGCTTGATGCTCGTAGACTTTGATTTCGATCGCCAGTATTCGCTGGATAAGGCCCGGGCGGTGGGTTTTCGTGAGTCGATCGACACGGTCGAGGGGTATAGGGTTGCTTTCGATCGGATGGCCAAGGCGCGACTCATTCCTGCGTTCAGGTAAGGGAAGTACCGGTAGTATGTCATATTAAAGGAGTCTCAGTGACGCTTTAAGAGCGACATTCCTGGCGGTAGCATGTCTATCTAGCAATATTACATTGGTCTCTACAACAGCTCTTGGTGGCCTACTAACCGAAGTACCCCCACACCAAAGTACTGACAGGCCTGTATATTCAGTAGACATACTTTCCACCTCGTATTTACCCATGTCACGAGCAACCTTCAAGGCGTCCACGGCACTGCAAACCTAGACAAGACACCGAACAAAGCCAAACCCTCCTGACGACCAACTGACATAAATACTTACCCCGCGTGTCATACCCCCAACACAGTAACTTATCTCCCAAGATCGCGACTCCAGACAAACCGCACCGGCCACTCCGATCTTAACAGTGACCTTCGCACCCTCACCCTCAATACATAAAACCACACTCTATCAAAAACACCACAATGCCCCCAACCGAGCCCCCAACTACACCCCCAGAACCCATCCCCCCCACCATGAAAACCTACACCTTCGCCCACCCCGGCCCCCCCAGCACCACCCTATCAACAGAAACCTCCCTCCTCATCCGCACCTCCCACATCGCCCTCCACCCCGGCGCAACCCACATGATGCAACTCCTCCCCGCATGGACACGGCACTTCCCCGCCGTCCCCGAAACAGACTTCTCAGGAACGGTGGTATCCACGGGCGCACGCGTACCGCTCGTCCCGCCACCACCCCCGAATGCGCATCGCTTCTTCCCGCCCGGCACGGCGGTCTTCGGCTCGATTTCCGTGGCCCAGCACCTCAAGAACGGCGCCGGCGCGTTGGGCGAGTACCTGGTCGTCGAGATGGGGGATGTGGCCCGTAAGCCGGAGGGTGTTTCGTTGGCGGCTGCGGCCGGGTTGGGGGTTTCGGGGGTGACGGCGTTGGCTTTGGTGGATGTGGTGGAGGGGGTTGTCGGGGGTTTAAAGGGTGGGGAGAGGGTGTTGGTTAATGGGGCGTGTGGTGGGGTGGGGCATTTTGTTGCGCAGATGTTGGCTTCGAGGCCTGAGGTGGTAGTTGTGGGGGGTTGTTCGAG